AGAAAGGAAGGGTCAGTGAAAGTGAAATAACAACTTTCACTTTTATATTCTAAATGGAGCAAATAACATCTTCAAAATGATAAGAGAAACAATGTATTCAATTATTTATATTTATGTGCATATATATACTTATAGAAAGTGAAATGAAAGACAGCAATAATACAAAGGACAGGAGGGAAGAATTAGCATTATTTTGTTATTATAGGATGCTCACACTTCCTGTGGAGCAGTAAAATGTGTATTTCAGAGTAACCACGCAGAAAAATTTTTTTTATTATAAATGGATGTGCTAAGAAAAGAGAAAAAATGGAATGATATAAAAGACCAAATAAAATCATAAAAGAAAAAGAGTGAAAGACAAAAAGAGGATCAAAGAACAAGAGTGATAACTAGAAAGCTGGAACAGATATGACGGATATTACTCCAAGTATATCAATTATTACTTTGAACATGAATGGTCTAAATAAACCAATTAAAAGATAGTTACTGTAGAGTGGACAAAAAAGCAAGACCCAACTATATATTGTCTATAAAACAAAACACTTTAAATATAAAGATACAAACAGGTTAAAAGTAAGGGGATGGGAGAAATAATAAAAGTAAAAGTTAGCTGTAACATGCTCACACTAATCAAAATAAAGCAGAGAATATGTAGTACAATGGGACATTCTTCAACCTCAAAACAGAAGAAAATCCTATTGTTTGTGGCAGCATGGATGAACCTAGGGGACATTACGCTGAGATGAACCAAAGACGAATATTGCATGATCTTATTTACATGTAGAATCTAAAAAAAAACAAAAGGCACTCATAGTAACAGTAGAATGGTAGTTAACAGAGGCTGGAGGGGTGGGGAGAAGGGGGAAATACTGATCAAAGGGCACAAAATTTCAGTTATAAAGTGAGTAAGTTCTGGAGATCTAATGTACAGCATGGTGATTATTATTAATAATATATTGGGTATTGGATATTTTCTAAGAGAGGAGATCTCAAGTGTTCTCACCACAAAAGTAATGATGTGAGGTGATTAATGAGTTAATTAGCTTATTTGTGGATATTAATTCACAATGTATACATATAGCAAAACATGTACACTTTAAATATGTACAATTTTTATTGGTTAGTCACACCTCAATAAAGCTATAATTTTTTATTTAAAAATAAAAAATAAAGCAGGAATAACTATATTAATCTCAGATGGAGCAGCCTTTAGAGAAACAAAAGTTATCAGGAATAAATAGGGACATTTTATAATGATAAAGGAGTCAATTCTCCAAGAAGACAACAATCCTTAATGTGTTTCAAAAACAGAGCCGAAATATGTGAGGCAAAATCATAAAATTGTGAGGTGAAATAGATGAATCTACTCTAATTGGAGACTTCAACACCCTTCTATCAGAAATGGAAGATCCAGCAGGCAAACAATCAGGAAGGACATGGTTGAACCCAACAGTACCATAAACCGACTGGATATGATTGACAGCCATGGACCACCTCATCCAGCAGCACTGGGGGGCACACTCCCCTCAAGCTCCCGTGTAACCTGTACCGAGGTAGGCCACATTCCGCGTTATAAAACGTGACCTAGTAAGTTTATATGATTGAAATCAGACCAGAATGAAATGAAACTGGAAATAGATAACAGAGAGATAGCTGGAAAATTCCAAAATATTTTTTGGACACTAAACAGCATACTTTTAAATAAAACATGAGTCAAAGGAGAAATCTCAAAAGAAATTTCAGAATATTTTGAACTAAACGAAAATTAAAACAGCTTATCAAAATTTGTGGGATGTAGAAAAAACAGTGCTTTGATGGATCTTCATAGCATAGAATGCATAGATGAGAAAAGAATAAAGATCTAAAATCAGTCATCCACCTTAAGAAACTAGAAAAAGAGGAACAAGTTAAATGTGAAGTAAACTGAAGAAAATAAATAATACAAATTAGAGCAGAAATCAATGAAACTGTAAACAGGAAATTAACAGAAAAAGCAATGAATCCAAAAGCCAGTTTACTAAAAAATCAATAATATTGAAAAACCTCTAGCCAGGCTAATGAAGAGAAAGGAGAGAGGACACAAAGTACTGTTATCAGAAGTGAAAAGCAGGAAATCTCTGCAGACCCCGAGAAAATTAAAAGGACAATAATAGAGGAATCTTATAAACAATTCTCTGTCTTTATCCTAGATCTTTGCCATTTTAATCATTATATGTCTCGGTGTTGTCCTCCTTGGGTTGCTTGTGTTGGGAGATAGGTGCACCTCCATGGCCAAAAATATGGAACACTTGAAAACACTAAATTCTAGCAAGGAAATGGAGCAAAAGGAACTCTCATTCATTGATGGTGGGAATGCAGAAATGGTACAGCTGCTTTGGAAGACAGTTTTGTGGTTTCTTAACAAAACGTAACATCTTCTTACCATATGATCCCACTGTATCACTCCTTGGTATTTACACAAAGGACCTGAAAATTTATGTCTGCATAAAAACCTGCATATGCTTGTTTATGGCAGCTTTATTCATAATTGTCAGAACTGGAAGCAACCAAGATGTCCTTCATAGCTGAATGGGTACATCCAGACAATGATACATTGATCTGAAATGAGCTATCAAGTCGAGAAAAGACACAGAAAAGAAAACGTAGGTAGATATTACTAAGCAAAAGAAGCTAATCTGAAAAGGCGACATTTTGTATGATTCCAAAATGTGACATTCTGTGTGAAGTAAAACTATGGAGACAGTAAGATCAGCAGTTGAGAGATATTGTTTTAGTACCTGATCCCACATCACCTGCTCAAGAGGCTTTCACTGAACAGTGGGCAAGAAGCAGCCCTTGCGGCCACTGCCATTTTATTAGACCAGTTACAAATACTGTTATTACTTTGTTTGCCTGATGTCTAGTGTCCATTGCCCCTTACAAGAGTGCTTATGAAAACAGGGTCTTGGTCTGTTTTACTCCCTGCTTGTGTGAGCACCCACAACTGAGCCCCAATAGTGTCTGGAAAATAAAGGGCCAGATCATGTCTGTTGAACAAACTAAGAGTAGCAAATTGCAAGAGGAAGAAGTGGAGGCATTGAATTTAATTTAGACTTCATCAAGGAAAGAGAGAAGATGGTGTCTGAGGCTGGGCCAATGGGACAGATCAAGGAAGGAATCAGAGATTTGTGAACACAGATGGGTTTCCATTATGAATGAACAGGTTATCCTCAGTGAAGACCCTTCCTGCTCTTATTTTGTCTTGGTGCTGATCTGGGTTGGTATTTCTATCAGTAACATGAATGAAGAACATTTATAGTTTGCTTGTTGTGTGTATGTGTAATATTGACAGAAACACAATTCAAAAATTCATGGACAATAGATCAAAAGAAAGATAACATGAAATTTAGCAGAGCTAAATGTGAGACCCCCACAGCTTGGAGAGTGTGGGATATACGAAGAACAAATCAAGAGGCAGCATTGCCCTGGAGTTTAGTGACAGGCAGTGGGTCATGTCTGCACTGACTTCCACTGCCTTCTATCTGGGTGTCCCTGGGCCATACTTTCTCCTTTTTAAAGTTCCTGGCACCGGACTCCTAAAAGCCTTGGAATTTCCTAAGTGATAGGAGTTTGTTACTGTAAGGAGCCCCTTTGGATCTCATCTGAGTTCATGCTATGGTGGTGACTTATGGTGGGGCCCCTAGATTGCCTCAGGATGGGGCTGGTCACCAGACCAGCCAGCTGATAAGAGGACTGGACCGTTCAGTCCTACACCCGTCTCAGGGAAGGAGAGGAGAAGAAGGCTGGAGATTAAGCTTTATAAAATCTCTTGGACACTGAGATTTGGAGACCTTCTGGATTGGTAAATGCATCTGCATGCTGGGAGGGTGGAGCACCCCAACTGCATGGACGGAGACGCTATTGCCCTCTGGACCCTTCTGCACCTCATCTTGTGCATCTGTTCATCTGGCTGTTCATTAGTATCCTTCATAATAAATATAAATATAAATAAAGTGGTTCCCTGGTTTCTATGAGCCATCCTAGCAAATTTCCAAACCTGAGAACCCCCAGCTCATAGCCAAGTTAGAAATGTGAGTCACCTGACTCTGGGGGAGCAAGTGGCAGTCTTATAGGACAGAGCCCTTAAACTGTGAGGTCTGCTCTAACTTTGGGTAGTTGGTGTCAAAACTGAATTTACTTGTAAGACACCCAGTTGGTGTCTGGAGAGAATTGGTTGTTGATGTTAGAACACACACTAGAATTTTATATTATTGTTTTCTGAAGAATTCCAAAACAAACTCATGATCTGATGTGACCACCAAAAACATCTGGAAGTCACAGACTCCACCACTGACAGTAGAGTGCCTCCTGCAGGAGGTGAAAATTCCACCAAACTTCTTTAGGAGTATCAGGTTCAGGCCTGGGCACTGCACTCCAAACAGGGACATTCAGACCTGCCCTCCCTAGGACAGCGTGACTGACTAGGTGGTGGTACTAAGCCACATCCTAGCGGAGGCCTTAGAGATGTTCAGGCAAGAGATGAGAAGATCCAGAGTGTGAGTGTTGTCTCAGGAATTGAGATCAGCATCTCCGAGCAGAGCTCTAGGGAGCAGAACAGGGACCAATGCCCAGAGACCAAGGAAAATGCCACTGAGAATAAGAATTGTCTCCCACCGCAGCAGCCAAATGGCACAGTGACGCCCAGTGTGCACGGAAGTGCCCACATGGATGGGTGACTCTCCACATGAACAGCAGGATAGAGTGTTTCACTCAGTGGAGAAGCACTCGGAGAAGCACAACCCCAGCTTTCTTTCAACTCTAAGAATCTCCAGCTCTATACCATAAATAACTGGCAAGCAGTGGTATCTGCTGCTTCCAACCACTTCAGATGTTGTCTTCTTCCTTTGCCACCCTCAACTCCGCCTGATGAACCTTTTTTAGAGCAATCCACATCCACATTTTCCAAACGCTGCATCCTTCAAGAGAAGTTGCTTCCCTGCGAGACACCCATGAAGACTTACCCCAGTTTCTGCAGCTTACATTGTGGCTGCTTTACTTTTTCACATAGAATTCCAACTCCTGAGTCTCCCAGGGCGTTTTCCCCCAAGTAGAGTCTGGTCAGGGACTTGTTGGTGCTCAGGACAGATGCAAGATCCTCACAGCACTCCGATGTGAGACAGCAGCTGACCAACCTTACACAGAGACGGGAGGTGTCACAGCAACGATCCCACCACACAGTGACATCAATCAAGGAAGCACTTGATCTGGGGCTTCCACCCATCCAGTCCACACATTCCCTTTTCTATCTGGTATAATAGCAAGGCAACACCTTCCAAGCCTGTGCCAATGCGAGATCTTTTCATCTCCCTCACTTATTTTTACTGTGGTAAGATACATGCAACACAAGTTTACCATCATAATAATTTTTGACTGTACATGTCAGCAGCGTTTAAGTACATTGACCTTCCTGTGTGACCACGGCCACCACCCATCTCCATGGGTGGGAACTCCATGCCCACGAAGCAGTGACCCACGACCCCTGCCCAGCCCATGGCACACACCATTCTACTTCCTGTCTCTGTGCATTTGACTATTCTAAGCACTTCACATCAGTGAAATCATTCATCTGGCTTATTTTACTTAGTACAGTGTCTTCAAGATTCATCCACATTACAGCATGTACCAGAATTTCTTTTAAGGCTGTAATGGGTTCATGAACCTCATTTTTGTATTATTTTTTATTGAAATACAGTTGATATACAATTTTATATTAGTTTCAAGTGTAAAACATACTGATTTGACAGTTATATACATTATTAAATGCTCACCCCAGTAAGTGTTGTTACCATTTGTCAACACAGAAAGATGTTACAGAATCATTGACTATATTCTTCATGCTGTACTACCATCCCCATGACCAACTTCTATTATGATTGAGATTTTTGTGCCCCTTTATCCCCCTCATCCACCCCAGTCATCCACTGCAACCCCTCCCCCACGGTAATCACGTCACTTCACAGTATCCCTGAGTCTACTGCTGTTTTGTTCATTTTGTTATTAGATTCCACATAATTGAAATCATATGGTGTTTGTTTTTCTATGGTTTATTTCACTTAGCATAATACCCTCTCAGTTCATCCATGTTGTCACAAAAGGCAGGATTTCCTTCTTTTTGTGGCTGAATAATATTTCACTGTGTATATGTATCACTGCTTCTTTACCCATTCATCTATTGATGGACACTTAGGTTGCTTTCATATCTTGGCTATTGTAAATAATGCAGTGATAAACATGGGGGTACATATATCTTTTCAAATTACTGATCTTGTTTTCTTTGGATAAATTTCCATAAGTTGAATTGCTGGATCATATGGTATTTCTCTTTTCAGTTTTTGAGCAGCCTCCACACTGCTTTCCACAGTGGTTGCACCAATTTGCAGTCCCACTAACAATGTAGGAGAGCTCCTTTTCCTCCACATCTTTGGCAACACTTGTTATTTCTTGTTTAGACCTCATTTTTAAAATCCATTCATCCATCAATGGACATTTACATTGTTTCCACCTTTTGGCTGTTGAGAGTACTGCTGCCATGGACGTGGGTGTATAAAGACATGTTTGAGTGCCTGATTCCAATGCCTTTAGATAAACATCCCAAAGCAGGCTTGCTGGATCATATGTTCATTTTTTTAAGGAACAATCCTACTATATTCCACACCAGATGCAGCATTTTATATTTCCACAAGGAATACTTGATGGTTCCAATTTCTCAGCATCCTCATCAACACTTGTGATTTTCTGTTTTGTTTTGTTTTTGTAATAGCCATCCCGGTGGGTATGAATCCACCCCTCCATTTTCAAGTGCCATCTTTTCTTGAAGACTCACATCTCCCTGAAGCACTCGAAGAATCTGCATCGCTTGAGCACTAGTTTTTCTGTTCAGTGTGGCAGCCAAGGGCTTGTCATGAAGGCCCAACTCTTTGAGAGCAGTGCATTACATGAGGTTTATTTTCTCAGCTAGACTGCAAATATCTTAAAGTGTGCATGATTTTTTCTGATTGTTTAACTTTCCCTCCGGAGCTTACCCAGCAAACACTGCCTGACTGGATTGTTTTTCTTTTACAGAAGGCACATGCATCAATTCCAGAACAGAACACCTTGCTGCAGATGCAAGGCCCTTCCAAGGGGCACACACACACAACAGAATATTACTCAACCATGCAAAAGAATAAAATCTTGCTATTTGCAACAACATGGATGGACATAGAGGTTGTGATGCTAAATGAAATAAGTCAGGCAGTGAAGGGCAAATGCTGTATGATTTCGCTTACATGTGGAATCTAAAACAAAAACCAAACACACGAAACAAACTCACAGAGAATGAACTGGTAGTGGTCGGGAGCCAAATGGCTCAGGTGAAGGGGAAAAAGAGTTATAAAATAAGTAAGTTACAGGGATGAATAGTGCAGCATAGGGAATATAGTAGATAATATTGTAACAACTTTGAAGGTGACAGTTGGTACCCACACTTATCATGGTGAGCGTTTTGTGATGTATGTAATTGTTGAGTCAAGTGTTGTACATCTGATACAATACAATATTGTATACCAACAATACTTCAATTTTTAAGAAAAGAGTCTTCAGGACTCTCATTCTGCCAATGCCTTGGACTGGGTTCCCAAGTGAACAGAGATTCCAGCCATGGACAGACATCATAAGACAGAAATAAATGTTTTTTTCTGAATCACTTATGTCTATTAATCCTACCTCAGTGAGGATGCAGGTTTTTGTTACTGTGCACAATCCTGGAAGACTGTGCACTAACTGAGCTTTTTACGGTCACCCCGGGACAAACATGGAATCTGCCGAGCAGCCAGGGCTGTTCTCGCAACACCAGCCCATCGTGGTTCCCCAAGGCCACCGCTCGGGCTTCGTGAGGCAAACAGCTCCCACTCACCAGAGCCTCTCCAGCCTGCAGAGCAGATGCCTCAGCCCCACACACAGCTGCTTGACTCCGACGTCTCCCAGGGCATTGTGGTTCAGGTCCAGCTCCACCAGCTTCTGGTTGCTGCTGAGGACCGAGGAGATGCTGGAGCAGCAATGGTGAGAGAGACAACAGCGTCCCAGCCTTCACACCAAGCGAGGAGAGGGAAGCGTCAGAATGCGGGCCACTCCTCTGGTGCCGCCCTCCCGTGTGCGCTCACATGGGTACCACGCTGCGTGGTGCTCACGTGACAATCACAAAGTTCCTGTAGACTGTCTCCTTATCAGAACTCCTGAACACAGCCCAAGACATGTTGGGAAGCTAGGTTGAGGGCTTACTAGCTGAGCCTGCTAGTACTTGTCAGGGAGCCCCTCCTGGGAAGGGCAGTCAGTTCTCCAAGCATAAGTGATGTGGCCTGTGTCATAGATGACAAGGATCAAGGGTGGTGAACTAGTGGGTTCCACCTGCTTAATCTGCTCACCACATGTCGTGGCTCTAGGATCACACCCGACTACTTCTCATTGCCAAACTTGTCTCTGCTGCTCAGTTTTATGACTTAATCTCAGCCCTTCACGATTTCTGATTTGCTTTACCACCACACACACACACACACACACACACACACACACACACACACACACACTGTTACTACCACCACCACTGTCAGCAACTGTAATCTGTCCCTGTCATGGGAGCAAGAACAACACCACATCCCCTTTCAGGTTGGCTGGTCCTGTGCCGTACAGCATGTTGGGCTGCTTTCCTTTCTGCCCCATCTTCACACCAACTATAAGCTAGTGGAAAACCAAATCTCTACTTATCTGCAAAGCATCTCCCTGACACCCTCCCTGTCTGTGTCCCACCCTCTGGAATCAACCAGGGGCACCCACAGGTGTGCCAGACAGAGTGTGGGGGATGAAGGTAGAGAGGGAGATTAACTGCCAAAGTCAGCCACAGCCCTGAGGGCAAGGAGAGGATTTGTCATTTATCAAGAGGGCAGAGAGAAAGCGTTTGAGCAGGGGAATGGCATGGTCGAAGCAAAATTTTCTAAATAACCCTCTGGCTTCTGAATGGAGGGTGGGTTGGGAGGTGGCAAAGGTGGATTCAAGGAGACCAAACAGCCAACACTGGTCTCACAGGTATATTTGACCACTAATATGTGCTGAGACACATGTCTACCTGTGGTGGCCACGATGGCAAGACCAGTGAGAATCTTGTGCCCAGGCTTGTGATCCTAGGGCTGGACCTGGGCTGGTGGAAAGAGGATGAGGAAAAGCAGACAATGGCTTGAATAGGAAGTAAAGTTGATAAGATTGGTGTGGGGGCAGGGCGATGAGCAAGAGGGGGCACAAAAGCATCCCGGAGTGCTTGGCTTCAGGGCTCTCTGTGCAGCTCCTCAAAACTGCAGATGTGTGCCAGCAGAGGGCTGGAGGGGCCGCCCTGACCACCGTGTGCCCCACCCAGACACGTGAATCTGACTCACAGTGTGGGCTCAGAACAAGCCCCCTGTCATGAAGCTACAGGAGGGCCCCTGGGGCAGGTCGGCCTGCACCACACACCCTGATGGGTCTGGCCCAGGCGGTCACTGCACACAGTGAAACTCTCTGTTCCCATCTTTGAGCCAGGCCAACGAGGATGTGGGGGGTGAGGAAGGCCATGCCCTTGTGTCCTGTCCCAACAAATGATTCATTTTCAGTTCCCCTTCATTCTTCCCTCTATGAAACTTGCCAAACAACTGGCCTCCAATCCATTCTGCCTTCTCACTTTGGGCTGAATCATACCTGCTGACCCAAAATTCACAGGTTGAGGTCTTAACCCCCAAGACCTAAAAGTGAGACTACATTTGGAGATGGGGCCTTTCCCAAGGTAATTAAGTTAAAATTAGGTCACTGAGGCAAGCCCTAATCCTGGATCCTGGTGTCCTTGTGAGAAGTGGAGATGAGACACACACAGGAAGACCGTGTGAAGATACAGGGACAAGACGGCATCTACAAGCCACGGGGAGAAGCTTGGGAGAAGCCAGCCCTGCCCATACCTTGGTCTCAGACGCCCAGCCTCCAGGCCTGGGAGAAAATGGACTTCAGTCCTTCAGGCTTCTCAGTCTGCATTTTAACAAGTATTTTGTTATAGCAGCCCTAGCCAACTAACAACCCACTGAAGGGACCCCAAGATGTCTCTCCGTCGCACACATGCAAGCAGACTCTTACCACAGCCTCTGAATGTTGCAGCTAGGCTGCCGGAGTGTCTCACACAGCACCTTCATCCCTGGGTCCCCCACAGTATTGCCACTGAGGTTCAGCTCCGTGAGCTTCCAGTTAGTGCTCAGGACCGAGAAGAGGCGCCGGCAAAAGCTGGACGTGAGATAGCAGTTTGCCATTCTAGAAGGTGGAGGGAGGGAGCGGAGAGGCGCAAATCAGTCCCTAAGAGTGACAAACCCAAGCTAGGGCCACCAGCTCAGAGGCCACCCAGAGATTATGGAGCGACTCCCAGAACTAGACTGTCAGGCGTGAAATGAAAAAGGTAGGGAGGCTCGGTAAGAGGGTTCTGCACACCTTACATGGGGAGATGTGAGCCCATGGCTGTGGTGCCACATGTGCCCTCATCCCCCACCTTGGTCAGCCAGCCTGCCCACGGGCCTGGACCCTCTGCTGAGTGACCCAGAGGCCACTTCTCGCTGCCAGAGGCCCCACAATAACATCATGCTCTCTTGACAACCCCGAGGCCAGGCCACACCCTAGGGGTGAGGTCGGGATCTCTGAGGCCCAGGCTAGTCAGCATTTCTAAGACTTCAGGTGGCCCAGTGTGCAGCTCCCGCTAAGGTGCACATCTGACTCTGTGGGTCAAGGATGGGCTGGACTCGGCCGACAGCTGGGGCTCAGCTTGTCTGACACATGCTGCCAGCTTCCTGCTCAGAGGATGGTGTGGGCTAGACGGCATCGGGCTTCTCAGAGGAGCTGCCTTCAGAGTCTCTGGCGGCCTCCCAGCAGCCATGTGATCAAGGCAGGGTCTCTCATCTGCTCAGTTTAGCTCTCGGGGCCCTAACGAGAAAGTCTGCCAGCCTCCACCTCTCCCTCTTTCTTGCCCTCTCTCCTGGCTTCTTTACCGTTTGGACCTAGTTGCCATTGTCTAAACACACCTGCTACCTGGTCCCACTGTCCCCCAAAGGGCTCCCTCATGCCGGTCCTTCAAGGTCGGGGGCTGCCCTGTGTCTCAGGTGTGCTCTGCAGGGGCTCCTGCCACAGCCCTCCCTCAGCTGTCCACCCTTGCTCCCTGACTGTCCCCACAGCCAGATCGTGAGCCGCTGTGAGCAGGACCAGGTCTCAGCCACCACTGAAGCCCCAGCAGGTGGTTCCCAACGAGGGCGCCATGAAGGGCAAAGTGGGCCTGGCAATGAAGCTGAGGCGGAGAAAGGAAACTGAAACTCCTGCTGCTAGGAGAAGGCCAGCCCTCCCCCCTGAGTCCTGTCCCAGGCCAAGTGTCTCCTCTGGAGGTTAAATCCCAGCAGTCACAGAGAGTCCCCTTCCACGACTACTATAGCTGCGGCAGGTCCTGCTGCACAGGGACTTCTAAAGTCATGGTAACTGCCACTCAGCTGTACAGATGGGCAGGTGGCTCTCAAGCACCTAGCCCATCGGTGAACACCTGCCAAAGGTGCTGTTGGTGATGGCCTGGGTGTGGTGTGGGGCCGGGACAGCGCTGTCCTCCCTCACCCGGCTTCCCTCTGCATTCCTGGACAGTCACTGGGGCTGTTTTGCCCACTGGTATTTACTGCCTTGTGCACAGAGCCCCAAGGAAATTACAAGCAATCTGAGTTCACAGCATTCTCCATTCGATTCTCCACCCTGTAATATCTTGGGCTGAATGAACATTCACCTGACATGGGCTTGCTGTTCTCACTGGCTTTTCCTCACCCCACATGTCCACCTACCCTTCCTGCACTAGCCAATCCCTGCCAGTGAAGGGGTCCAGCAGAAGTGGGTGCAGCTCCACCATGTAGTTGTGGGAACTGCATTTGGAGGACAGCCAAGAAGAAGGGAGACACAGCAAGTGCCAAGAGAAAGCTGGCTGGCTGGCAGGCAGTGGGCACCTGCTGCCTGAAGCCGAGCTTCCTTACCGGTAGGAATAGGCAGCATGAGGGTCTGGAAGGACACAGTGGTCCACGTCAGAGCCCTGAACCTCCTCGTCTTCCTCCTCCTCCTTGGGCGCGTTATGGAGCAACCTGAGGGACAGGGATGCCATGCTGTGGCAGTTCTCGATGCAGAAGGAAGAAACCACACGGTCCATTCTGGTGGACAGGTTGATCTCGATTTTAGGGAAATGGCTCATTGCTGTCTGCACAAAGTCCTCCTCCTGCATCTCGTACAAGCAGTAGAACAGTTCCAGCTGGCTGGGCTCCGTCTGCAGCCTCTGCGCCTTCGCTTTCACCTGGATCCACTTCAGCAGCTCCAGCCGAATCTGCTGAGAGATCTTGCAACTCAATTTTTTCTCCAAGTAGGAGGTTCTCTCCTGGTTTACAAGGCCAAAGAGGAAACGCACAACAAAAATCAGGTAGCCCGTTTCAAATTTTCCATAGTTCTCAAGAAGGACCGTCACGTCTCGGTTGGGAAGCTTTAGACAAGTCTGTGGTGTGTTCCTTGTGCCCACCTGTTCCTCCTCTTCCAGCAGGTAGTACATGGCAGCAAAGAACTCCTGGAAGGTCATGTGGATGAAGCTGTAGAATTTCTCACAGTCCACTTCCTTTTGGAAGAGGTTCATCCTCAGGAAAGCGGACACATCTGCCTTCTGCAGGCCGTGATTCCTGAGGTCACACTCATCAAACAGGATTTTCTGGTTCCAGATGCCATCTGCAGCCAGCGAGCAGAGACCCCTCAAATTGGCAGAGACTTGGCCCTTCTGTGCCCCACTCTGGGAGTGCAGCAAACTATAGAGGAAGAAGACATACACCGCGGTGGTGGTCTTGGACGTCTGTGCGAGACTCTTACCACTGTCCATCTGCTGCTTGAGCCCAGTGCACACGATCCAGCAGACCAGGGGAATAAAGCACATGGTGAAGAGGACCTCATTCTCCTGAATCAGCCTGAAGGCTTCCCTGGCCTGCTGCTCATCAGAAAAATACTTAAAGAAGTACTCCCTCCTCTTGGCCTCTGAGAAACCCAGAATCTCCACATGGCGGGGATGCTCCAGTAAGTGCTGCAGCTTCTCCAGGGCCACGGGTCTTGTGGTGATGAGCAGGGAGGCCTCGGGAAGCAGCCTCTTCCGGATGAGGCTGCTAAGGAGAATGTCTCCCCTCTCCACCTTCTGCCAGTTGGTGCAGAGCATCTCTGTGTGCTCATCGAAGGCTCCTTGCAGCTCATCGAAGCCATCCATGAGAAAGAGGATCCTGTTAGGCTTGCTCACTATCTTGGCTATGGGTGGGTTTGGGCCCGGGCAGCAGCTGACAATCAGGTCCCCCAGGCTCCTCCGTGTCCCCAGGCTCACCTCGCGGCAGTGGATGTAGAACAAATAGTCAAACTTGTCCTGGTAAAGTTTCTCTGACGCCCAGTCCAACATGATCTTCCTGGCCAGCATTGTCTTCCCGATGCCCGCCGCTCCCTGGAATACTACCGTGTGCACAGGCTCGGCGTGCTCGTCAGTGGGCTCGAACAGGAGCTCCATGCTCAGGGAGCTCATGGGGCAGTCCCACGTCTTGGCCGAGGTCCTGCCGATGGCCAGGAGCTCGTGTTCTCTCTCCTTCTGGCTCCGGTGCTCCTTGACCAGGCGCAACCTTGTGTAGCGTTTGTTGAGGTTCACACTCTCACCCAGACGGGCGTTCCTGTCTTTCACACTCTGGAATCGGCTCCGCACATATTTTCTGTACTTCTTACAATAATCTGTGGCAAACACAGAGAGTTAGGCTACGGGGGAAGCCCGAGCATGGAGGAGCTATCACCAGGGGCCTGTGGTCCACTGGAACTAAGAAACAGAGGTGCAATTTCTCAGAAAATCTAGATGTCAATATCTACCCACATACAGCCGAGAAGAACAAGTGCCATGTTTTGGCTGCCTCCGGATGGAAAGCCCTTTATGCGGTCTTACTCCTTAGGGCAGTCTACAGCCCATGCCCTCAAAACCAGAAGCGGTCACCTCCCTGACTTCTGGGACTGCCAGAAGCGTGTGAACACGGGCCTGTTTCTTCAGCTCTGGTGCCTCAAGGGGCAGGAGCAGGTAGGGTGACCATGTGCCCTAGCTTCTCAGCGACTCCCAAACTGGGTCTTCAAACCCACTGGGAGGCAACCACCCCCACTGCTTACCTTTCTTTTTCTTACAACCAGGGATTCTGGAAAGATACCCCAACAAACCCATCCCTTCCTCTTCAAGGCTTTCTTCCTGACATATGACTGGCTGATTATCTGAAAATAAAAGGGAAAGAAATACAAGGTATTAAAAACCAGGACTCCTGACTGACATGATGTCTTTGAGGGCCAACAGACAACACCTGGCCTGCTCAGCAGCACCTGCCCGGACGTCTCCAACAGAAGCACATCTCAGGGCTGTGCGGCAGGCATACAGTCAAGCATCCAGCTGCAGGCATTCCTGAGCATCCCAAAGTGAGGGATGCCACCCACCCACCTAGCACTGTCTCCCCAAGTACCCAGTCTTAAAATCAGCCAGCAAACATGTGAGGCTGGCAGGCTTCCCTTGTCCTCACTTGTTCTGGGCAGACTTGCCACGCTACCTGGAGCTCTGGTTCTGAGGTCGTCCCTACTCTCTCCAAAATCTCAGAGATGGCCGCAGATCAGTGGGACCATCCTTTCCTGACCCTACTGCCTGGGGTCTGCCTCACCCCCATTCTGATTCTTCAGAGTGAGAATCACCAATCTGGTTTATGTCTGACTCGGTGGTTCAGAATGCTGAGTGGCCAGCAATTCACCCAGGAAGCTCTCAGAGGAGTGCCTCCAGGACTCCACCCAGCAGTTATTCACCGATGTATGTGAGGTGGAATCCAGGCACCACTATATTTTAAAAATTCCAACATGGATCTACAGTTGAGAATCACAGATAAGAACAGTTAGTAAATAACACATCCCCAAGAGGCATTTCATGGGGGAAATTTAGGCACATTAGAGCAAGAACGAAGCACCAGGAGAAGCACGGCAGGCATAACTTCAGGTGGGCAGGTGCCCAGGAGCTATATGAGTATTTCTGGCGGACACCTGCTTGTTCAGAATGCAAGTGCTATTGGTGACCTGATCAGAAAGCAAGACCCAAATATTAACTCAAACCAAAGCCACAACTCCTACCAAGAGCCTAAGCCCAGCATCCCTCCAAGGAAACTCCTGCCCTCATTACAGTTGCATATGCCAAGGCAACACAGTGGTGAAGGGCCAGGCTCTAGCCAAAGACACACCTGGCACTGAGTACTGGCCTTGGCTCTGACCAGAGCAGGGCCCCAACCAGAGAGCACCCTTCCCGGCCCACTTGACACTTCTGGGCAGACAGAATTGTTTGCCATCTTGCAAAAATGAAACACTACACCCATGAAACAACTCCCTACTCCCCTACCCTGCAGCCCCTGGAAGCCACTGAGGGGCTGGTTTGGACCACTCTGGGCACCTCTTACAAATGCAGTCACACTACATTTGTCTTTCTGTGACTGACTTTTTTCACTTAGTATCATGAAATTGAAAGTTCCCTGGACCTCGTGGTGTTCTGGTGAGGAAGGAGCAAAACCCACAAAAACTGCTCAGTGGGCCACTCCCCAACTGTGATCACTGTACTTTAATTTGGTTAACAAGTATGTAAGTACTAGCACAATTATAATTGTTATATGTGATTTGTTTATAACACCCTGCTGCTGTTCACCTCTGCCTCATGATCCCACATCATTTTTCTTTCCCTCACCATGCTTCTCCTGATGTGCTGACTCATATTTTTATTGAAGTATAGTTAATACACAGTATTATATTGGCTTCACGTATACAACATAGTGATTCAACAGTAACCACATTCTTAAATCCTTATCCCAACTACTGCAGTTAATGTCAACATAGAAAGATGTTGCAGAAGCATTGGCTATGTTCTCCATGCTGCACTTCCATCCCTGTGACCAACTTATATTATGACTGAGGTTTTGTGCCACTTTATCTCCCCACCCAGCTCAACCCCCACAGTCACCACTAGTCACTTCTCAGGGTCTATGAGTCTACTGCTGTTTTGTTCATTTTGTTTTATTTTGTTTTTAGAATCCACGAATAAGTGAAATCAAATGGTATTTGTCTTTCTCTACCTGGCTCATTTCACTGAGCATAATACCCTCTAGGTCCATCCATGTTGTTGCAAATGGTGGGATCACTTTCTTTTATAGGCTGGATAATACTCTATGTGTATATATACCATATCTTCTTTATCCATTCATCTATTGATGGACACATTGGTTGTTTCCTTATCTTGGCTATTGTAAATAATGTGTCAGTAAACATAGGGGTGAATATAGCTTTTCTAATCAGGGATTTTGTTTTCTTCAGGTCAATTCCTAGGAAAAGAGTTACTGGGTTGTATGGTATTTCTCTTTTTAGTTTTCTGAGCAGCTTCCATACTGCTTTCTACAGTGGCTGCACCAATTTACTTGTGACTCATTCTTATTCCTCCTTTCCACTGGCTCAACATCACTGTACCATGATTTCCCAGATTCCTCTGAGCCCTTCTGTGTGCTCTTCCCTTAGTCAGAAGACCAAGACACAAGGAAGGACCTCACCCCCAATTTTCTCACAGGGATGGAGATAATTCCTTTTACTATTCCAATGTCCAATGTGATGGCCACAGGAAAGGCTCTCCCACAAATTAAAGCTGTGAAAGGTGAGGGATTGCCCCTGAGTCGTGGTGAACAGAGATCCAGGCTGTTGCCAGGCAGGCAGACATGACGGGCTCCCACTGGATGGCGTCCTGGAGAAGTTCCGGCCACAGAGTGACAGGGAAAAGTGGCACTCGTCAGGGAGTCCCTAGGGGAAGCTGAGCCCTGACTTGGGTGTTTAAGGAAGGTAAGAAAGAACAAAGGGTTTTCTCCCAAATTCCTACAGAGCTATCTTGAAAGGAAGAAAGAACATGAAGCCGAGATAATAAAACAACTAATGAGAACACAAGCATCCTCACTGTGACGCATCACGGGCACCATCGACAGACTGAAAAGGCAACCCAAGGAATGGGAGGAAATATTTGCACATCTTTACATCTGATGAGGGGCTAATGCTCAGGATATGTCAAGAAATCCCACAAGTCAACAACAAACACACAAATTCTCAATTAAAACATGGGAAAAGGACTTGAAGAGACATTTCTACCAATATAAGCAAATGATCAAAAAGCACGTGAAAAGATGCTCAATACCACTAGTCAATAGAGAAATGCAAATCAAAGCCACAACGGGATACCATCTCATACCCATTAGGATTGCTACTATTAAAATAATAATAATAATAAAGTAAGTGTTGGCAAGGATGTGGAGAAATTAAGACCGTTGCACACTCTTGACAGGAATGTAAAATGGTGCAGGTGCTATGGAAAACGTTATGGCACTCCCTCAAAAAGTTAAACTTAGAATTACCATGTAATTCCACTTTTGGGCATATACCCAAAAGAATCCAAAGTAGGTTCTCAAGGAAATTTGTACACCCATTATTCACAATAACCAAATTTAGGAGCAATCTGAATGTCCACTGATGGATGAATGGATAAACAAAATGTGGTATATGCATCCCATGGTAAATTATCCCACCTTAGAAAGGAATGAAGTCCTCTCATATGTGACAACATGGATGAAACTTGAGGATGTATACTAACAGAAATGAGCCAGGCACAAAAAGACAAATACCTTATGCACAAGAGATGCCTAAAATAGTCAAATTCACAGAGACACAAAGTGCTGGTTGCCAGGGGCTGAGGGGAGGGAGAATGGGAAGTTGTGTAATGGGTATAGAGTTTTTCAAGCTAAAAAAGAGTTCTGGAGTTGATTGCCCAATAACATGAATGTTCTTAACACTACTGAACTGCAGTCTTACAATTAGTATGTGTATTTCATCGAAACTTAAAAAAAAATACCCACCCCACTCTGGCTCCTCCTGCTTAGCTTTTTCATAAAGGTCTCTCCTGTTGATCGCAGCAAATATCCACACTGCCATGGCCCACGCCTGCTCCTCCCCGTTGAAGTCAATCATCAGAGTGGCTAGGTCCACGTGGTCTGCTTTCTCGGTCTGGCCCCGAGGGACTGAGGTGCAGCCCTTCTGGCGAGGGTAGTCTTCCAAGTGCATCTTGAACTTCTTCAGGTCGATATCCTCCAGGTCCTCCAGGTAGCGAGCCAGCTTGCAGCGGACACTTTCCATGCTCCTGAGAAGCTCTGCTCAGGGCTCCTGGGCATAGGTCCACACTGGGAGGTCAGGCGGCAGAAACAGCCTGTGGGTAAGGAGAGTCTTTAAAGTCTGCCCTCAGAGAAAGCCCAGGGGTCAGAAACCCAGGAGACAGAGCAGAAATAAATATAACCAGACAGTAACAAGCTGCCATCTTTAGTTTGGGAAAGTGAGTGAAATACTTACCAAGTTTTCCTATTGGCTCGACCCAGGAGTGTATCCTGAGCCATGGAAGAAGGGTGTCCCTGTGCAGAGAAACAACAATGAACCCCATAAACACGACGCATTAACAGCATAACGATGCCCTATCCTCCCCAACCGCCCGAGCGAGGGTGCTGGGACGTATCACCCGGAGGACTCTGGTCCCCCTGGTGACTTTGGACAAACTGTTGACTCTGTCTCAACTTCAGTTTCCTCATCTGTAACATGACAGAGTGGAACAGATGATTTTTAAGTTCCTTCCAACGGCAGAGATCAGTTCCTTGTTTCTGTTTGACCCGGGGTAAGATGGCTGGAGAGCCACAGGAGGCCAGAAACCTAGAAAGCCTTGGTAATCGCTGAGCGGCTCGTGGCGGGGGAGAGGGGAGAGGGGATGGTCTTCCACAGCCTTTCTGCTCAACTGCTGATGGACATGCACAAACGAGATGGATATTGGTGTGCATCGGGGGGAACAATAAACACCCATCCCTTAGTGTCTCCTTGCAAAATCTGAAGTTACCATAATCACTTTTAGAATCCACGTTTACCAAGAGCTTCTCAAGTGCTTGGCGCTAGACCAGTGCTCTTTCCCACCCAGCCTGCACAAAACCCAAACGGACTACATGTCCCACCCGGTTTGTGGGGGTTGACACTGGGTCTTCCAGGGGTTCGGTGATGTGCTCATGTCTTCATGCCAGCAAGATTCAAAGTCAGGATTTAGACGAAGGTCACAGATTTCTGAGCTTATGCCCCCACAACACAGCACTTTTCGTAGCGTGAAATGTATGAGACCATTCCACTCCATTCCTCCACCGCCTAACCAAGTATCTCGGTCAAACCAACAAAATGACCAAAGGTGTTAAGACAGACGGCTGAAAGGCAGGACGCTTTCCCAGCATTACCCCACACAGCCTTTCATTAGCACATGGTTTTCCTAACTAGATTGAGTTCCACAAGGACTAGACACTGGCTGCTCACATCTAGACTGGATGAATGGGCGCACTGGATCCCTTCCTATTGCTGAATTGCAAAAAGCACACATCAGCCGAAAGTCATAAATGATGCTGGTGGGAGGGCGCAGGCCTGTGGGGCTGCAGAACTCTCCAGACTGCACTCCATAATGACCACAGTTCCATGTTCAAGGCACCTCCCACGTGCTGTCCTTCTTCCATCTCCATCCCTGCCTCTCTGCTCTGGGCTCCGTGTGCCCACAGTTCATCCCCTTATGCATTTGACAAGGAATGGGGAGCCTCTCCAGACAGAGACAACCTTGCAGACCCTCCCAGGTCTGCCCTCTCCATCATTCTCTCCATCCACACTGGGACTCCACTTCGGTTCTGTGCCCCCTGTCCCTGACCCTGGTGCACTCCACCTTGACCTCTCCCCACATCCCTGCTGTTCCCTGGCTTCTGTGAATTCTCATTTCCTCCACAGGGAGGTGGCTGAAAGAGCCCCTGGGTGATGGGTGTAAGCTGTGGCCACTGCCCCGTCCTCAGCCCCATCCCTGACACACATGTAAGTGCACCCACAGAATCCAACGATATACATGAAAGAACATTACAGAACTCAGAGTTTCTTTAGGAGAACAGCATCGGTGAGCACTGCAGTGAAAGGCTGGGAAAGTGGCATTGCCTTTGAGCCATCTGTTTATTGTCCAGAACATTGCAGAACTGTTACAACAGACTTGGAGGCTGGCAGAAGAAATCCCTGCTCCATAACCAAGACAAGCCTGGCCCTCTGCACTCCTCCCTGGCCCTCCCTGGGCCCTTCTGCTGCCCTGCTCTGCAGAGTTGGACTCACCCGGACTCCGGCCTCAGGAGCAGCCAGCAGGGAAACTTGAAGAATATATAGTGGTCACAGCTCAGCAGGGGCAGGAAGGATGTGGTGTCTGTGTGGAATGAGCACGCTTGCATCACCAGCGAAGGCAGAGACGAACAGTTACTCACATAACTGGATTTTCCAAACCCGAGGAATAGGGTTCTCAATGCTGAGGCTGGTTGCAGCCAGAGATGTCTGGCCTGTCCTCAGGGGCCATGGAGGGGGGAAGTCGGGGAATTCAGTTCATGCTCAGTGGATGTTCCCTCGACGATCCCGGCAGCTGTGTTGGTGTCATGATGCAGAGAGGACAGGACAGAGGGCACTGAGGGGCTGCAAGTGCAGAATCAGGAGTGTGCATCAGCACCAAGCCGCAGACGGCACACTCCATCAGCCATCACAGGGAGGTGGTCAGCAGGCTGTGACAGGCTTGTGGCATGTGGTGATTTTTTAAGCCACTTTATTGAGATAAGTAAATATCTGTGCATCTGTCACCACCAACAAGGCCATACACACATTGATCACTTCCCAAAGTTTCCTCTTACCCTTTATATTATTATTGTTATTATTTGTGTGTGTGTTGAGAATATTTAATATAACAGCGACCCTTTTAGCAGATATTAAGCACACAGTAGTGTCGTTAACTATAAGCACGTGCCATAGAGCACATCTGGGGGCCTCAGTCATTTTGCACAGTAGAAATTTTGTGCCATGACTACCTTCTCTCTCTCCCTTTCACCAGCCCCTGGCATCTGCCGTTCCACTCTCTGTTTCTGTGAGGTGATTGTTTTACATTCTACATACAAGTGAGATCATACAGTATTTGTCTTTCTCTGTCTGGCTTATTTCAGTTTGAATAATGCCCTCAAGGTCCATCCGTGGTGTTACAAATGACAGGATTGCCCTCTTCTCCTAGCTGTGCAATATTCCACTGTGTATATGCACCACATTGATTCACCCATTCCTCCATTTATGGACACTTAGGCTGTCTCCTTGTCTCGCTATTGTGAATAAAGCTGAAGTGAGCATTGGGGGAGGGGGTGCAGATACCCCTTTGAGATCCTGATTTCAGTCCCTCTGGGTAGGCACCAGCTCTGCCCCCTGACTCAGTGACTTGGCTGGTAGACTGACACTGGTGGGGCACTGAGCATGCAGCAGGCATGCGCACAAAGTGGAAAAGCACCTGGCTTTACCCAATAGCACCAAGGGAGACAGAAACACCCCACCTGCTTTCATGGCTTGTGCAGTGGCTGCAGGATACAGTCTGAGAGTAACATGAGCTCAACAGAGGTTGGTGGGTGAGAGGCATTCAGCTCCCTGGGCCAGTGCGGGAAGCCTGAGGACCAGGCCCACGGCCAGCAGAGGGGCATTCTCCTACCTTTGGAATGGGAACCACATGGCACCAGCCACAGAGAGTTGGCTAAGCATTGAGCAAATGGGTATATTTGAGGTCTGTCAGATACTCTGTTCCAGAAAGTCTGTTACCAGTGGTTGGCTCCCATCAGCACCATTGCTTATGTGCAGAATGCCCTGAGATGAGAAGCTCTGCCTCCATGAAGCCAGTGCACATCTCAGGCTCTGCATGTGGTTAGGGGGCAGGGTGCAATCAGGCGCAGCGAGGGCTTCAGATGCTGAGCCTAGGGAGGACCTGGATGGAACGGGGCGGCCCCAAAGGCTCTCCTTGCAAAGCCTTGCTGTCCTCAGTGGGGTGTTCTTTTCCCTGGAGCTTCATGCTCCCCTCTGCCAGCTGCTCATGCCTTTCTTTCCACCTAACTTACCCTTAAAGTACCTGAAGCTCACTTCTGTAAAGCAGGGCAGACTCGAGCTCCAAACCCAGGGTACTGGGCTTCAAACCCAGATTTGCCACAAGTTCTTTCTAATTGGATAAACTTCAGGAAACCATTACAAAAGTCAGTTCACAATGACTGGTGTAAGCTCCACAGACAACCGCCTGCCAAGGGTGAGGGGAAGGACAGCGCTGGGCAGACGCGCATCCCCCACCTACATGCGACCCGGACAAGCCCTGGCCCTACAGATGGGAGCAGAGCAAGGAAATGCCACTGGGGATTTCTAAACCCAAAAACCCAGACACAAGACAAGACATGTGGGCATGGGCCAAAGACCCAAAGCACTTAAAGTCAGGATTCTACTGGAAAGCCCAAAGTATCCCTGGGTGCAAATGCCTCTGAAACCTCCTCCAGCACCCCCTTCCCTGGGCCAACGTGCAGGGAACATGCTACGCTCAGAGCCCCTCTGGGCTTGCAGAAATGGCGGTTTCACTTCTACATGTGCACTGAGAAGGCACAATGCCTTCTTGGCAGGGATTCTCTAGCTCCAAGGATTGCTGCCACTTTCCATTTGTCAGCCCTGCATTCATCAATACAGCAGCCACCAGCCTCATGTGGCTACTAAAATTAAAATTTAAACTCAGTAACATTAACAACTCAGTTCTAGCTGCACTAGTGGCATTTTAAGGGCTCAACAGCCACATGTGAGGACAGCACAAAGCAGGTTGCATACATCCCTGCAGACTTTCATTGGCCAGCCCAGGTCTAGCCCCGTGGTCACCTAGAAGGGCCCTCCAGAGCATTAGTCCTCATGCATAGAAATGCTAAGATTTCCTGTCTGGCAAAAAAATTATTCTGCAAGACATTAGATGGGTTTTTGAAGGTATATACACTATTACACATTTTTTTTAAATATATGTGCTCTCAGTTCACGTGCAGACAAATCTGGAGGATTCTGTGTGAAACTGCAAATTCAAAGTGGGAATGTACAGAGGATTTCTATTTCCTACATTATTATGGAGGACTTTTATATTGTACTTTATACATATCTGTATTAATTGGCTTCTTTCCAACAAGCATATATAACTTTGTAATCAAAAAAGAAAACAAGAGGGATTGCTGCCTAGCACAGTTATCCAGTTGGGAGGGTTTGGGTGGCCTTGAAATAGGATGATTCTGAGAGCTGGGCTTCCCCGCCTCTGCAGCCTCCGTCTTACACCAGTCCTCCCCCAAGACAAGCTCCCTTTCCTCCTCCTCCCCGGGCAAGCGTTGTTCCGTTCTCCCGCGCCTTCTAATCCATGTCACGGCACCAACTGCAAACCTCCAAGCATGTATGGCTGGTCCTGAACGATTCGGGGGCTGGGCTGCTGTCTCCACCCCCACGCAGTCAAAAATCTGATTACAGCTTCTGACTCCCCAAAAACTTAACTACTAATAGCTTACTGTTGACCAGAGCCTTACTAATAACATAAACAGTCGATTAACACATGTTCTGTTCATGTATTATATTCTGTATTGTTACAGTAAAGTAAGCTAGAGAAAATATTTTTTCAAACTGTCATGGATCTCCAATTTTCCTATATGTTTACTGAAAAAAATGTGTAAGTGGGCCTGTGCAGTTCCAACCCGTGATCGTCAAGGGTCGGCATAGAATTCACAGAAGTGGCACAGATCCAGAGGTAATCAGAACAGCTTCTATCTGCTGCCTTCGTCCTCGCTGTAAGGACCCCAGTTTTGCACGTGTCCACCCCTTCCCCTTAGGACTGGGGAAGAGTTAAATCTTTTCTCCAACTCCAGGGTGACATTCAAGTTTATACAAGCTGATCCTTGGACCCGGCTCTCCTAATAATGACCGTTTAAAGAGTGGGCCGATGAGAAAGGTCTGGTTCAAGACCAGAGCTTCAAATAGGAGAAGTCTGTGCCCCTGAGGGTTCCCTCCCGTCCGGCCCTCATTTGCCAATAACAGTGATCACTTCAGGTCATGATGCCTAAAACTGCTGTGGCCTTTTGGTGACTGTCAGGGAGCATGAAGCGCTCTGAGGGTGACAGAGCCGGGATGGAAGGAGCACATGTGCTAAGGCTGTTTAAACCAACTTAATAAGCTTTTCTGTTCTTAGCTCCAAAGGCAGCTCACAAAGCAGACACCATTGTTTAGGTGGCAGACTGTTCCCTGTATGTTCCCACTTCCTGGGGTCCTCTGAGCAAGCGCTCACTAGTCCAGGGGCAGCTAGCTAGCAAGTGTGCATCTGTGCCCTGAGGCTTGCTAGAGGTCCTGCTCTTAGCCAATACCATCCTTCACAATTTTCCCAGGGAAGGGGACAGATCACATCCACAGATGTGACATAGTGGGAAGGAGACAGTTCACATGGCACAAATGAGACAGTGGGAAGGCAGTAGTGTACAAAGACAAACCAGTTTTGGAAAAACAAGTCACAATTTTGCATGACTGAGGCTTTGTGAGTCCTCGTTGGGAGAAGCCTGGCATTATTCACCTGGTATGTCTGCTCCCTCTTCTAGGTGGGGGATGTTTCCCTGCGGCTGCACTGCTGGGGCTGCCCCTCCCTGTGCCTGCCCGCCACAGCCCCAGCTGAGTCAGGTCGGCACCCTCTGAGACACGGGTTGAAAGTGACTGTGGAAACCCTTGTCAGTCCTGCTTTGTAGAGGCAAGCCCCCGTACACACATCCTGGGCACTGTGTGTGGAGTCAGAGCCCTTGATCCCGTTTAGCTTTTTCCCTTTCCTGCATTCATAAGCTTGTCTCTAGAATTCCACTCTGCAAAGAGCATTAGGTCAGAGACCCGTGTCCGGGTGCCTCACTCCCTTTAAGGAATAGTCTCCTCCAGGCTCCCCAACATTTCTGGAGGACATGTTCCAAGTTAAAACAAATCTAGGAGCTTTTAATGCAAACTGGAAGCCAAAAGGAAAACAAAACATTCTAAGGGAAAAACAGATGATTTTGTGAGCCTTACATCAGTTGGCTAAAAGCCAGTGACCAAGTCATTTGTATTTTATTTTATTAATGAACTTACACATCCTCACATAATAGGGTAAATTCAATCCCTCCTAGAATGTTTTTTCTTGCATATTGTGGGTGCTTTTTTCTGTTGCCTCCTATATAATAATGAGGGTAAACTGTTGAACCACTGTGTTGTATACCTGAAACTAATAGAAAACTACAACAATTAAAAAAAAGAAAAAGAAATAAATTTTTAGTTACTTCTTCCTTAGGAGGTGAAAGC